TTCCTGCTTTTGGTGGGCAGGGAGCAAGAGAATTCTAGCCACTCCTTACCAAATGATGAAAAATTTTCAGTCTTCCTTTGGGCAGTAGGAACTTCTCCCCGGTAAGACGGAACTTAAATAATACACCAATTAGAACTTAAATGATGCTTTGAGAAGAGAAACTAGGTATCATATAGTAAGACTGATTTCCCTAAAATACAATATAATTCTAGTTATCACTACATTAGTGTTAGAAATAAAAAAGAATGTTTTATTGATTCAAGATCTCACCTTTATTCATGTGATTCAAATTCCCGGTTGGCTTGGTGGGGTGGTGATGTTTTTTACTATCTCTGATGGTCACTTAGTGCTCTGTGCTTCAGTCTTCTCAGTTGCTGGGATATGGGGCAGGAGCTGAGGCACTTTGTTTAACAAGTGTCTTGGGGAAATCCTTGTCTAAACGGTCATTGAGCTGGGAACACTGCATGGTCTGCTCTGGGAGATCTGTCTAGAAAAGTCCTACACGGGCACCCCAAAAGAAATCAGACATCAGTCTATACCAAATTTAAACTCAGAGGATGGCATAGGATGGCCCTTCCCTTAACTTTGTTTTCTTTAAGTTTAGACTTGATGTAATTTATTTTTCCCAAGTTGGAAAGATGTATTCATTAGACGAGAAGAGCATCTTTCTACCTTAAACTTCACACTCTTACTTTTGCGCAGCATAACAAAACAGAATTCCAAGAGATGAAATAACAGTGAAATTGTTTACCTTCCCCACCCCAAAAAAAGATTTCTGGTATTTTAATGTCTATACCTAAGTCTTTTTAGGAAACAATCTTCTCGTGCTTTTTTTATTTCTTACAACAAACTGATATAATGGTTTACTTTTTTTCTCAACTGAGTAAATTTGAAAATGCAATATTGAGTCCATTATTATTCCTGTAAATTGATGTATCAATTTTCTATGTGTTCTTTGTTCCTTTTTAAGTGGTTTCTACCACAACTTACTCTACCAATAAGAATTACTTTCTATATTAGTGCAACCCTTTTATTATCCCTTTATTAATCAAAGATGATGACTGGTTTTCAAAGAAGTCTGGGGAAGGGTATCCCTGGTATAAAGGCATAGAAATGACAGCCCACCTTCTAAGATGTCCCATGTAGACTTTGAATGTATATGGAAAAGGGCAGCTGGAAAGGTAGGCTGGGGCCAGATTATAAAATGCCCTGTGTACCACACTAAGGAATTTGACTTTATCTTATAGGCAGTAAAGATAGATTGAAAGGTTTTAAGCAAGAGAGTGACATGATCAATTAAATGTTAGAAAGATGACTTTGGAGGAAGGTATGCAGATAGATTTGAGGAAGGAGAGGCAACAGGAAGATGGTATAAAATTAAACACATAAAATTATATCTGAATTTATCCTGAAATAGAATGAGTTTATGGCTTTGGAAGCTTAGAGTTTTATTATAATACACTTCACTCTACCTGCATATTTCTGCCCGCTTATCTCCCAGGAATTTCTTCAAAACCAAGAAGCAAAACTTAGAAAAGAACAGAATGGAAAGAGAAGAAAAACGTTTTAGAGAAAGATTCGAGGTACGTTCTCCTCTGAAAGTAAAAATTAACAGTAAGAGGAATTTCTTTTTTTAAAGATTCTATAAGTGTGTTGCACGTCTGCCTCACTGGGATTGACATGATCTTTCATTAAACTTCTGATATGTTAATGTTTTCCTGATACATTTCTGTATTATCATGCCTTCGTACATGCTATTTCCTCTGCCTGGAAAAACTGCTAAGTCATTCTTTAAGGCTCTGTTCAAATGTCACCCACACTTCCCTAACTCAACCAGGCAAAGTTACTCCCTCAGCACATTTCATACAACTATTACACAGTATCCATTATAACACTGATCAGGGATATTACTGTGTGTGTGTGTATTCTGAACTGAAGTCCTGAGTCCCTTCTGAAGAAGAGATTTTTGTCTTGTTCAAGTTTTCCCTCCAGCTCCCAACATAAAAATGGGCACACTAAACGATTAAAAACTTCTTTCATTCAGAGTCCATAGAGCATTTTTCTATAATTGCAAGGTTCAAACACTCCTCCCTTTTGATTTCATATGCTGTCACAGTGAGAATTTATTAATTTTAAGAAACATACACTGAACACCTTCCATGTACCAGACACTGGATTGAGAGAAAGTATGCATCCCGCTCATGGAATCTGTCCAAATTACTACTTTGCCTAAAATCTTTCAAAATTCCCCATTGCCCAATAGATAAAGATGAGGTTTTCTTAACATGAGATATAAAGCTCTTCATGTCATGACCTTTGCTTGTCTTTCTGGTTTTATTGCCTGCCATTCTTCACCTTGCACTTTGTGCCTTGGCCACAGATTGTTCATAGTTCTGTTTCTTGAATGAACGTCCACCTTTATCCTTGCCCTGCTATTTCCTTCCTCTAGGCATTTCTCTGGTCTGTTCCAACTGTCTGGTGTACCCTTGCTACTTTTCTCCATCTGACTAGCTCCTGTTCATTTATGATGACCTAATCGAGGCATCTCCTCTAGGAACCCACACTTCCTGATTAAAGAAACTACATACCTCTATACCTGAGCAAACCTCTAGCTTATCACAAGACATTAGCATTACTGCAATTACATGTTCATCAATTACACTATGAGCTCCTGGAGGACAAGGGTATATTATCTATCCTTATATCCATACACAGAGCAGAAGAGGAGTACTTAACACTGTGTAAATATCCAAAAACGTTCCTGGACTGAACTAACATAGGAACATACACAAATCCCTCATAATCATTAATAAATTCTGCTTGGACCAAAGCTGATTAGGGTTACTATATCTAGGAATTGTGATACGAAATTATTTACTGCAAACTGTGACGTTACTGGATTAGCTGAAAAACAAGTGTGTAACAATTACTTGTTGAAAGGACCCTACATTCCATCTAGTGCCCCCCGCTGTAGCTGTGACACTCTCATATGGGACAGAAATCCCCATTCTCATATGTACGTGAGTCTATTCTTCCTAATCACCTATGGTGAGTTTCCTTGATATATCTTTAGAAAAACTATACAGTTTCAATACTTTTTATTCAGCTCAAACCACAAAATACTGGGTGCCCCATTTGTACCAGACATTGAGGGTACAAGGATGGATAAAACTGTTTTCCATTTTCAATTTATGAGACAGTATGTTAATCAGAATCCATAATAGGGGTATATACAAAGTGCAGTTAAAACAGTAAATTATACATGGCAGTCATGAAAGTCTTCACGAAAGGTACTTAAGAAAGAAGAGTATTTCAGGCAGAGAAAACAGTAGGAGCAATGGCATGGACATATGTAAGGTACACAGCACATTCAGGCTTATCACACAGCTTGATGTGGCTTCAATAAAGGGGACAGAAATGGGGGGACGGGGAATGATGGTAGGCAAAGGACTCTGAATGTCAAACTAAGAAATGTGGATCTTACCCTGAATGAATAGTTTCTAGGACTTTATAAAAAAAGAAGGTGACCACCTAATCAGATTTACATTTTAAGAAATCACTGTGCATTCACAGTGAACAATGGCCTGGAAAGGGTAAGCTCACTCTGTTAGGCAAAAGAAAAATCTTGTGGATTAGATCCCCTTTGGTACAGGTTAATCATAATTTATCATCCAAATTCAGGACACTTCTGAGAGTGGAAGGAGGCACACTTAATCACAGTAAGTATTTATAAATAGAGACATTAACTATAAGCAGAGACTATCCCAAGCAAAGGAAGATGTTTGGCCACCCTAATTTGGTGAAGCGGACATCTTGTAAATATAAGCTACATATTCTGGAACTATTATTTTCCAGTCAATGGATTTCAGTTACATTAGAAGGTGGTGTACCCGTTGATGTATGGGTTGGCTAGTTTACCACACAGAAATAAACTCCCCTGAGGTTAGAAATCAAATTCCTCAGTTTTTTCCATAAATGCTCGTCTTTAACCACCAAGGGAGAGTGGGAATTGCCCCACACATCATTCCTACCTCTTTAAAATGTGTGTGCTACAGCTGTATGTATATAAGAATATACGAGCCCACCAGAGAGGAAGGGTAGAAAGAACAGCTAGAAATGCTGTGTGTAAGAAAGAATTATCAACTCTAAAGCACTACACAAAGAAAGAGGTTTTTCTCTTTCCC